GAGGACACTGTGTCGTTTAAGTTTGGGGGTGCATCAAGCATTCTTGGCATATTTTTGGTTCCATAATTTTTGCTAAGCAATGATAGTATAACTTGACACTTGTCGGAGATGAAACATATGTTTAATACCTTGTGTATAGAAGCAATTGAAAAATTTTGAAAATAAAGAAAAATTTGAGTTGAAATGATCATGTAAATACAATGTAGTCTGTATAAATGCCTCAATTAGATTCTTGCTGGATTTACACTCTTATAAGCTTCACAATGCACAGATGCACATTGGAAACTTAACTGTGAGGCATGCAACTTGATTGACCTTGACCTTGGCCTAGTTAATCTGATTTGATGAACCTGATAGATGGATACCTTTGGCATGTTTATTCAAAAAAAAAAAAAAAAAAAAAAAAAAAATGTGAAAAAAAAAAAAATGACCAGTTGACGTTCGTAGCCTTTCCAGCTCGAGCTATTAAGCCCTAGGAGTGTCTCTACACTTAGCACCCTAAAGCCATCTGGTTTGGGAGTTGTTGGCCTAACGCTTGCTACAAGGGTTGGTTAGAAAGCTTAAGGGACTTAAACATTGCACGGTCATTCAAAAAAAAATTAAACTAGTAATAAACATGGTTCGTTGGAGTTCGTAGCCTTTCCAACTTGAGCTATTAAGCCCTATGGAGTGTCTCTACACTTAGCACCCTAAAGCCATCTGGTTTGGGAGTTGTTGGCCTAACGCTTGCTACAAGGGTTGGTTAGAAAGCTTAAGGGACTTCAGCATTGCACAACCATTCTATGTTTCGCTTATGTGTTGAAATAAATTGTTAACAAGCAACAAAAGTTGTCTTGAAAATAAAATCATGCCTTAGGGACTTCATGTAAAAGGGAATTCATTGACTTGAAAACTTGTACCTTGGAATTGGAAAAGAAAGTAAAAGCCGCATGTTGAGAATCCAATTCACTTTCACTGAAGCGAGAGTTGATTTCCATTCAAGAGATGATAATTGAGTTATTTATATAGACTTTGATGTTGATGCATGAATGTAGAAATGTATGTAGCCAATTTTTGTATCAATGCTTCATATATGCAAGGTAGTTTTCCCAATGACCCCATCTCCAGTTTTTGTCTGTTTCAAGTTGTATTTGAGCTATGTTTCTATCTCATTTTACCATGGAGGATATTTTTGTAGTAGCATGCCCATGGTTGTCTTTTCTTTATGTTTTTCATTGTAGTTTTGCTAAGGGACTAGCAAAATGTAAGTTTGGGGGTGTGATAAGCGCCGAATAATGTATATTCAAGCGCCCTAAATTACATTAACAAAGTCCAGTTATTAATTATTTTATGTAGATTAACTCCAATTCTATGTTTTTATGCATTTTCAGGTTCATTGGCCAAAATGGAACAAGAATAAGGCCTTGTGGAGTCTTGAGCAACAAAAGGGTGCCAATGCTGAATTCTGGCAGCAGTAGAGCCTGGTCTTTGCTTGCCATTTTGACCTTCCAAACTCGAGAACTGGACTTCCCTCATAACATGAAAGATTTAGAACTCTGAATTAGCTTTCCAAATCTTCAAGTGGTTCATCATTCGGAGTTCGGAGCAGAGAGTTATGATCTTCACAACAGAGGTGCGCAGAACTGCCTGGCAGCACTGATGTACTGCCTTTCTCCCCATTTTCGACCAACCAGACTTGAGATTTGGGTCTTCATCAAAACATGAAGTTTTTAAAGCACTGAATCAGATCTCCAAAGCTTCAAACAGATCGTCATTCGGAGTTCGGGGCACAAAGTTATAGCAGTTTTCCCAAAATAGGTCAGCACTGAGCAAGAGGAGCATGTTGCACATTGCACTAAGTTAGAGTGCTCGAAGTCACCAAGCGTGCGCTCGAAAATCAGGCAGAATGCCCTTCGGAAATGGCTCATTTCAGCCCACTTGCACATTGGTTTCCTCAATGCCATCTTCCCTCTTTATGAAGTGGTTGGAGGTGTTCCTTGGAGGAGAGAGGGTATGGTTGGAGCATAAAAGGCTACCCAAAGGCCACATATATCATTAAGCTTTATCTTGAGCAAGAGAAAGGAGAGAGAAGAGAGCAAGGAGAGGGTGTTCTTGAGTGCTACAGTAGGAGCTCGAAAATGGAGATGAGGATGATGCTTCTTCCTTCTTCTAGCTCACCAATGGGTAACTAAACCTCATCTAGGGAGGTGATGAAACCCCTCCCTTGTAAGCATGTGTTAGTATAGTTTATTTTTGGGGATTACAATGTATTTTTGATAGTCTTTCCATGGTCAAGAGCCTCATTTTTGTTGTAATGAATGTTGAATGTTTTAAATGATTATTGTGAGTTATTCATCTTGTCTTGGATGGTTGCCTTTCTTAATCATATTGCTTGCACTTCCATGGTGACAATGGAAGTTAGATCATGGAATGGTTTTAATGGCATGGAGTTGGAGAACCTAGATAGTTCATGGCTTAGGGTTTCCCTTTGATGGGCTATACTTGATTCTTAGCTTTATGTGCATTCACCATTTAAATTAGGGCTTGATAATCCTTGGCTTAGTAAGCATGTTCTAAGCTACATTTTAGTTTAGGTAGTTGATCATGTGAACCTTTGATGGTTTATTCTTGCCTTTCTAATTAAATGAACTTCTTAAGGATATTATAGCAACCTAGTATTGTTATGTATCATGACTATCATATATGTTGTTTTCCCCTTAAATTAATCTTAACCTAGCATGTGTAGAGGGATGGAGGTGGATTCATTTCCCTAGCCTTCTTTACTTGTACTCACTCCCTTGAATTCTTGCAATTTACTGTTTTATGCACTTTTAATTTCCTAGCTTAAGTGACATCCAACAAAACCTCTATACACCCTTCATCATTCTAAGAATGATTCTAGACATTTAGGTTGTATTAGACTAGCGTAGTCCCTGTGGTTCGACTTACCCGACCAATAGCCCTATTTTACAATGATTCGTGCTATTGCGAAGGTTGATGTTAATTGACCAACCGATCATTTGCTATATTGGGTTTAGACCTACTATGTATGTTTATATGATGGTGTTTTTTTGTATGTTTTTTGTGTAAGAATTATGTGTATGATGATGTATGATATTAAATGATATATGAAGCCATATATATTTAGAAATGAACGTTACTAGTTTTGCAGTGTGAACATTACTACATGAAGCCATATATATGTAATAACCCGGATTTTCACGGATAATTTTTTCCGTTGTCTTTTCCTTTTTGGGTTCAGTTTTTCATCACTTGATGTCGTCTCGAGTGCTCTGGAATGATTTCCGAGACTCTTTTCCCTGGATTGACAACTTCCTTTGGGGATTGTGTTATTTCCATAATTTATTTTTCCGAACACTATTCACATTTTGTCTTTTTCTCGTTTATCCTTTTTCCTTTCACAACCTCACTTTTTGTGCTCGGATTTGATTCCGGTTTTTTATGCATTCATGATATTTGATTTCCATGATAGTGGTATTTTTACTTTTCTAGAAAAGCATGTTGATTGCTTACTTCCTTCATAAAGGGGCATTAATACATACTTTAGTGTAATTCTTCTTAACTTGTGGGGTTTTAGTGTAATTAAATAAAGTAATAATTTTTCATCTTGGGAACCATTTTGCAATTAAATTTGGAAGATATTTTCAAAAAGGACCTTTTTGTAATTTTTAAAAAGTGTGATAAGTGTCACACTCTCATTGGTCCACTTGTTGACATTTGTGTGGAAACACTTTGATGCATTGGATGATGACATTTGGAGGGTGAGGATTCACCCACTTGTTAGCCTAGGATTGGTGCACTTGTTGGCTTGGATGGTTGACAAGTGTAGGTGTGCGATTAAGCCTAGGAAGGAGCCATGGATTGGTGACAAGTGTAGGTTCACAATTTAGTCTTGCAAATATCTTTGGGCCACTTTGGGATTATGGTTTTAAAGGAGGGTTTTTGTGCAATTAACCATAGATGTGTGTGTTGACCATGGTGTAGGATCACATAGTGAGTAGAGGATTTCTATTTCCTCCACTCACACATTTTCACATTTCATCTCTTTCTTCCTCACCACAAAACCCTAGCCTCCATGGATGAAGCTTGAAGCTTTAGGCATTGACCTTGATCTTTGAGGCCCTTCCACTTTCTTTAGACCATAAAGCTTGGAATACTTTTTGTTCCCCTTATCCTCCTCTTCAAAACCCTTGAAGGATCTAGCCTAACTCCTAGTTTTGCTTTGGTATCTAGGGATTCAATTCTCTAGTTAGGTATTGATCTATTATTTTGAAGTATTTTTATGTCATTATTGAGTGTTTTACATGCATAGAAGAGAATGACTTGTATTATGCCCTTAAACTATTTTAACTTGAAATAAATCTTGTCAAATTAAATATATAATATGAAAATATAATTAATTAGCTTCCGTTTCGTTTTTGTTTCACGTAATTTGGATTTAAAATGAATTAGTTATGAATTTTTGAAGTTGCAAGCTAGTTGTTGGAAATTTAAATCTTTTCTTATCCGGTCCGGAAATGAATTTTTATATGGAGCTGTGGTGCTTCAATTACCTTGACATTTTTACTGGAACTTTCCCCATGGATTTTACACTACTCAGAATGTTTTCATGATTTTAGAGCATTTCTAAATTTTTTTAAAAATCTGAGACTATCTGTTGTCCATGTGTTTATTGCAGCTGGAAAACATATTTTTAGATAATTTATTTCACTAACCTTTTGACATTGGATCATGGCTTAAATTTTCAGTTTTACACTCTCATATGTTTACTTCTAAAATAAATTAGGTTTGCCTAATTTGGATGTCAAATGAATTTTTCATGAATTTTCAAAGTTGGAAGCTACAGGCTGAAAATGTGTTTTCTGGGCAGAATTTGTTTCAAAGTTGTGGGTCAAAACTGTTTCAATTGAGAAAATATTTTGTTGAAATAAATTGATATTATCAAATTACAGTGTTTAAGCTTTCATTGGGCTTTGGATTCATTCAATTTGGATTAGAATTGAATTTTTTATGAATTTCCCAAGTTGAAGGTAACAAGCTGAAATATCTGTCTTGCGGATCAAAAATTTAAGGCGATTTCATTTCGGTGGTAATTGGGATTTTCATTCCAATTGAGGTAGGAAATGTTTTAGGATTTATATGTGTTGTATTGAGTGTTTTTCATGATTATACAACTTATATGTATGCCTTGTATCAAATTTAGAAAGTTGGTAATTTTTATTTCTTTGTATAAGATTTAAAATTCATGATGATATATAACTTTGATTTGAATTGTGGCATGCTAGAAAATTATGTTTTAATATATTTGTTAACATACATTAAATTGGTATTGATTGAATAAAAATTACATATTTTATTTAATATTTATCTTTTGTGAAAGATTAAATCCCATGGCCGTACCTTGCATGAAATTGACTTGTGATATGCTTTTAAATTATGTTTTGGCATGTTGTTTAACATACTTTAATTTGACAGCATTTGGATAAGTATGAAAATCTAGAGATTTTAATTAAAATGATTAATTAAAATCTAATTAAGGGTTCCATTGGCCTAATTAAGTGTTTAACTTGATATTTGTGATAACTATAGCCTATGTTCTAGCATATGTTAATTTGGAACCATTTGATGTTGTTTTAGAAGTTAGGGATTTGATTATCATGATTTAATTAAATTCCACTTTGTTGTTCTTATGGCCTAATCGAGTTTTGATGTGGTGTATGTAATGACCATGCTATATTGTTTATCATGTATTAATTAGAGACCATTTGATTGAGATTTGAAACCTAGGGAATGTAATTAGTTTATAGATTAAATTCCGTTTCTATGGTATTATTAATTAACTCATGTATTTGACATTGATAGTATGTTTAAAGCATGATTTTTGACTTATAATGAATTTATGAGTTTATGTTTTCAATATTGGATTATATTGTTATAGCGTGTAACGAATCACACTTTGAAGATTCGACATTGTCATCCTATAGTAGTTGTGAATTTAGAGCATGTGTTGTGTGGATACAATTTACTTGTGCATGGAAGGTGACTTAGTGCATTATATAAATTACGTATAAGTTGTGAACTTATTTGATTATTTTGGAGTCTTGGGACATTGTTACTGTGATATGGCTAAAGTTCGGTTTTAGTGCGGGAGGTATGAGTTCTCCCCAATTGAGATAGTACGCACTAGGGTGGTCTTCCCAACGGGTTAATGCCTGAAATAACCAATTTGTTCTTGGTTTAGTCCGAGACGTGATGTCCAAGTCTTCCACTATTTGTTTTCGCATTCAATTCCAAGTTATCAATCATGTTTATATTGTGACTGTGGTTTTGGCTATTGGCGATTTGATGTTGTTAAGTACATCCATACTAAATTGCTATATTTAGTTTATTTAGCATTTAGATTTCAAGTTTATAACTTTGAGAATCTATATCTAGTTGCTTTGTGTAAGTATGTTTCTATCTAGTTGCTTTGTGTAAGGATGTTTCTAACTAGTTGCTTTGTGTAAGCATGTTATATCTTATTGCTATGTGTAGTATGCTCTTGTGTTGTTGAAATTGCATAAAAGATGTGTTTTATGCTAGAAATGATCTTAGGTAGTTAGGATGCTCCCTGAGTCTCACCTTTGACATAGACGTTAGGTGGAATGAACTACAATGATTAAATCATGTACACTTGTAAAATGTAGGTCGATGCATGCTCATTTCCTACGAGTAGCTTTATGTTACTCACCTTTACGATACTGGGGCATATTTCAGGTACAGGATACAAGATTGGAGATTGCAATTGCTTGGGTATTTGCTGAGTTAAGCTTCTTTAGAAACATTCTTGTTCACATGCAAGTATTAGCATGTTCATGATTTGTCTATGAAATGTAATTTTTCTAACTTGGAGGTCTGACATGTCAAATGTTGTAAATGAGTTGTAATAAGGCCATGGGCCATTGTAGCATATTTAAAATACCATTTTACACTTGCGTGTATGTTCACATCATCACACAATAGCATATATTGCAATTTGATCATGCCATGGGGAGTCATTTTGATGCCTTAGGGATGACGTACATCTCTAGTGGCCACTTAGTTTACTTCGTTTCCGCATTTCGGATCCGTTATCTGGTCATTCTTTTAGTTCATCACAGGACACATTGGGTTGAAAAATCTAGGGTCGTCACAATATATGTATAAAATCACATTACTATATATATGCATGGGGGTAGTGTGAATAAAAAATTATGAATAAGAATAATATTAGACGAGTGATGAGAAAAAAGGAAAGAAAAATTCGCAGTCACTCTAAAAACTCTACCATTAAACTTATCATAATTGTAGTCTCTCTCAATAAGCAATAAATATGAAGCCATATATATGATCGACCAAATTTAAACACTCCCCTTTGCACAACAGTCTGTATGTTACTTAAAGGATAAAATATGTATCAATCGAACACTAAGAGCAACAATGGACTCTTCGCTTAGGTGTTGGCAAATGTTGACCCTTTGTCCTGGGTTCGACTCTCAGTACCGTCAAGTGACTCCAAATCGGAAAAAAGGTATTCTAAAATACGTCCTTTTTATTTTTATTTTTTTGGTTTTTTTTGTAGAAAACATGACAAGGTAGGACAAAAATAAACTAATGTGTAGAAAACATTCCTGCATTGTTTTACCTACATGGATGAAAGACATGAATCATTGACCCTTTGCCCTGGGTTCCAGTCTCAGTATCCTTGGCTGGCAACCTCTAAAAAGAGGTATTTAATACCTCCTTTTTGTTTTATTTTTTTGGTAAATGAAAGGCAAGAATATAAGTTCATAAACATATATAACTTATATCAATTCAAAAAACATATGTCCAAAATTATTTTCTTCAAATTTAGATATAAAATTTTATGAAATATAAAATTAAGAATATATATTTAGGATATGAGACTAACAAGACAACTACTTCATTCTGCCTGAAAATACGCATATGTATTGTACACAACATCCCAATAATTACGTAAGAAAATAGAAGAAGTACGTACATAAAATCTCAACTACTATAAACATAAAATCAATTTAATTTGTATTATCAATCCTAAGAACTGGGGTAGTTAAATATTTATTGATGGATTGGCTTATAAACATAAATCGGTTCAACCACCAGTCCCACCCACAGTGCCACGACTTGTGCTATAAATATATGTGCTGAGTATTGTTCCAAGCACCCATAAACATCATGTCTTCCTCTAAGCCAAGCAGCAGTGGCGCACTACCAAATCACAGACCAAGCAGACCTAGCCCCAATTACCCCACTTTCACTCCTTTCTCTGGTCGTCAAGCACCCTCTGGTCCAGATCCTCCCCCTACGCTGCAAGACCTGATCATGCAAATTGACAATTATGGGATTGACCTCACTCGCCTCTAGAGATTGGTGATGAGGATGGAACGGCACTTGAGGAGGCTTTAAGAGCCATGCAACTCCAAGTCTGACGACGACATCATCGAAGTTCTCAACTTTTCTGACGCCATAAGTGACGATGGAACTTAAGGAACCACGAAGGATTTGGGAGGACCCTTTCTGCCTGGTTGTGAAGGAATGTTTTGGAGGGGGGTGGGTGTCCTTTTGTATGTGCGGAAGTTAGGTGTGACACAGTTTTTGGAAGGTTTGCAACCTGTGTTGCTGGGTTTGGTTTGGACCTTGTATGTCTGTTTATATTATGGTGTTTCTTTTGTCTGTAAGAAATATGTGTGTATGATGTCTGATGTTGAACGAAATATGAAGCCATATATATTTTATTTTGACCTAAAAATATATATATATGCATGGGGCAGTGTTCAGAAAAATAAAACAAATAATTAAATTCTGTTGTCCAAGTGGAAAAAGGAAAGAGAAATGACACATACGACTTAAATTCTGACGAAACTACCATAAATGGGGAGTTAAATGACGACTACTTCCCAAGAAAAAGGATAAAAAATGGGTGTCAATTCGCAGTGACTCCAAATCCCATCCCATTAGGGTACAACAGTTGAGAAGGACATTTGACAATTTATTGAAGTATGAATTTGGATTACTACAAATTAGGTAATCTTTTGTGGATTGATTGATTAGGTCTAGCTCTTTATTTTGGACTATTAATTCCTATTAAATATGATAAACAATATATATATAATTCATAAACAATATATATAAGTCATTTTTATGATACGGGACCAACAAGGCAACTATATAAATCTTCCTTAGAATATATATTATGCATTACATCCCAATAAATATGTACTTTAATTAATATAATTCGTAGTAAGTATCCCAACATAATCCCAGACCAAATCCCTTGAAGGTAATCAATATAGATTTGCAACAGATATAGATCAGTCTGAAATAAAAACTTTAGACATATAGTAGTCTACTTAATACATCATAATTCCCAACAACCCCAACAAAATTTCACTTTCTTTTGGAAGCACCACTCCTTGGTGGTGGAATTTGAAAGTCATCATCTCTAGAGTCAAAAAAATCTGACAAATCTGAATCCGATTTTAGGTTCGGCTCAATCATAATTTAATTCACATGGTTGTATCAAGCATTAAATCAAGTTGTAATATGGTATTTAAATAGGCCTTAACATGTACTCTAATATAGATTAAATTGAGGGCATTTGGAATTGTTTAAAAATCTAGAGAAAATTAATTAATTAGCTTGATTAATTTTGTTTTAGGTGTTTTAATCACTTAACTTGTCATTTGATGTTATATATATAATACAATGACATGTCTTTCAATATATATTAAATTGAGGTTATCTGGATTAACTTGGAATTTAGAGAATTTAACTATTTATGTTTAATTAAATTATATTTTATTACTCCATGGATTTAATTGCATTTTGGAAGTTGTTTCTATATTTAAATCATGGATTTGGATTTGATGTATGTTTACTTGATTACTTTTGAATATTGGATAACATAGTTGTTACTTTTATATTCATGAGAATATGTTTTTCCTTATTGAATATATTGTTGCTATGTGTAAAGATTTGCACACTTTGTATTTGACATCTTACATGCCATAGTAGTTGTGAATTTTGAGCATGTATTGTATAAGTTTCCAAATTTTGGATTGTGCTTGGTAAATAGTTGATATCTTGTATATACATGTTAATATATATACATTGTTGCACAATTTGTTGATTTTGGAAACTTGGGGATGTCGTTGTTTGGCTACGGCTAGGACTTGGTTCTAGTACGGTGGATTGTCCCTCTATATAGTCTAGTGTGCACATAGGGAGGTTACCTATGGGCTAGTAACCCTAAAGTAACTATGTTGTCGGTCTGATCCGGCGTGACATCCTAGTATTCACTTTGTTTGATTTCATATTTCATTTCAAGTTGATAACTTGATGATATCGTAACTTGTTGTTCCTTATTTGATTTCCTATTTTGAGCTTAAGATGTAGCTTTGTGAAAGCATGCTTCATGCATTGTATTGGAAGTTCCATTATTGGTTAAATTGCATCGATATCATAATTTGTGTTTTGATGTTCAAATGTAGTTTAGGAATGACCTTATAGATTCATTTTGAACATAGACGTTAGTTAGCATGACCCACACTTGTTGTTTTTGTATTTTGGATTTCAAGTTGAAGACTTTGAGAATCTATATCTTATTGCCTTGTATAACATGTTTCCATGTTGTTTGAATTGCATGAACAATGTGATTATGATATAAATGATCTAGGTAGCTTAGGATGCTCCCTGGGTCTCATCTTGACATAGACATTAGGTGGCATAAGCCCCTTTAACATGTTTCACCAAAAGGTAATAAAATTGTAAAATGCTAGGTCGATGCATGCTCATCTCCTACGAGTAGCTTTATGTTACTCACCCCTACGATACTGGGGCATATTTCAGGTACATGACTCAGGATTTGAAGATTCCATTGCTCCTTGGATGGCTTACAGTTTCTAAGTTTCTATTTTATGCAAGTGTTAGCATAAGATGCCTCTTTGTAGCCCTTTTTGTTTAAACTTGTATTCGTTGATTCGTATATGTAAAGTGTACGTAAGTGCACTCTTTTCAATATATTTAACATGTATGAGATGAGGCCGGAGGCCAATGACATGTATCTCATTTTCTATGCACTTTTGTTTTCAAAGTTTATTATGAAAATTTTGGAAAATGTTAAGTCATTGCTTTATAACTTTCGCATCGGGTGTTGGAATTTCATATCTTTTCTGCCCGAACTCAGAATTAGACGATTCTTGAGTCTAATTTTGTTTTTTTTTTTTTGTTGTCCTTCCAATGGTTTGCACGGTGGCACCCTTTTTAGTGAGAAATGACCATTTTGCCCTTAGTTCATCTCTTTTCGGGTTAGGCATTCTTGCTTCATTTACTTAGCTCATTTGAGTTCCGTGGCTTCATGGAGAGTCATTTTGGGGCCTTAGGGATGACGTACATCTCTTGAGGTCATTTGGCTTCTTTCGCTTCTGCATTTTGGGTCCGTTATCGGGTCAACTTCTGATTCATCACTAACGTACCGGGTTGAGAAATCTGGGTCGTTACAGGTGGTATCAGAGCTCCTAGGTTTGAATACCTTGGACGACAGGTTTTGGGTGCATATCATGCTTATGTTGCCATGCTCTATATGTTTATATGCTTCATGATAACTTGTTTTGCTTTGATAACATGTTTATGTGCTTACGTGCTACATGTGGTATGCTGTTTGTTTAGCATGATTTAATTATTATGTAAAGAGCATGACATATGATGTATTCTAGATCAGATTTGTATATGCATAACTATATTGCATATTTGGCATGACACGAGATTAGTCATTGAGGCTTGAGTTGAGGTTGATGGTGATTGTAGTCACGGTTGCATTGCAGTTTAGGTTGTTGTTGACTTAGAGTTGGTTTTGAGGTAGGTGGAGAGACATCTTTTGTTTAGGCTTTCGTGGGGTGAGACATTAGGCACAACCGTAGTACTGGATTTGTTGATTTTAGGCCATGGTTAGGTTTTGGACCTTTTGGGATCCTTGGTTATTTTGGAAGGTTCCTTTAAGATTGTAATTTTCATGGGCGGGTACGTTATGGGCGGGTGCATGGCACTGTCATGCTACCGTACTGGCAAGCTACGAGTGTAGTTCAGATGGAATCAAGGTTGGTTTTCGTTTTGATAGGCGTTGTCCTTTTGATAGATGATGATGATGGTTATTTTGGAGATCATTCGTGGTGATTGATTTGGTTGTTGTTGGTATGGTTATAGTTGCCATTTTCTTTGAGTTCTCCTTGCGCGATGACGCTTTTGGGGTTAAATCGATTAATAGATGCTTCAGGTAGAGAGAGCATTGCATTGTTAGTGTCACTTATAGTGTCACCCTTAGATTCAGAGATGGATTGTAGGAGTCTTACCATTGTGGTAAGGGCTCACGTTTGTTTTGAGACAGGTTGTTGTTGCATTAGTTTTTGGAGTCAGTGTATGGCTAGGACTGGTCCTTCCTTTTTACCTAGGCACTCTAGGACACGATGTCCATAAGATTCATTGTTGCATCACTTTTATTTTCTGTAATTTCATTTACTACCATGTTAGTAGTATAATTTATGATATTATGATGCATGAGTAGGTGGAGGTCTATCCACGTTTGCCTTCTTGTTGTGTGGCAATAGCATGCATTTCTTATATACTTCGAGATGCCATGTTGTTACTGCGCTTTAATGACATGCTTTTGTGTTTATGTGGAGACGTGCAGCATGTGCTTTTGATTTTCATCTATGTAAGTGGATTTTCTTTCTGGTAGTTGCATTCCTTGTCATATGCATGACTTTCAGGTTTGGTTTTCCCATTCGTTTCCCTTGGTCGCACGTAGTCTGTATGCGGGTTTCCACAATGGTTTTGTGCTGGTTCATGTTAGGGACTTCACAAGGAGTGAGTCTCTTCCCTCCGTTTCGTTGTGCACTGTTTTGGGGTTGGTTGGTCCATGAGGATCATCGTTGTTGTCTTGAGTCCTTGGTGAGGATTTGATAGATTTTGGTCGACTTACTTCCATGTAGGGGGTGAAGTCGTTGACTTTGTTGTCTTTCATTTCAGACATATTTGTTTTAATTTAATTGTTTGTTATAATTGTCGTTGACTTTGTTGTCCTTTTAAGGACTGGTGGTCCCCTTTCTTTCGTGTCTTCCCTTGGGGAGTTCCTGCCATGGTTATTGATGGTTGTGGTGCTCAAGTGAGTTAATTGGTGTGACATCATTTTACGGAGACTTATATCCATATCTTTGAGGATTGTTTGATTCGTGAGGTGAGCTCGATGCTCTTTTGAGAATGTCTTTTGGAGACTTGTTCCAGTTTTGGAGGCGTGGATGTGGTTGACTCTTAGGAGGAGTTTTGGAGGATCGTTGTTGGATATGGCTTCCTTATGCAGTTTTCTCGTCCTAGTTATGGCTAGACATAGTTTTGAGGAATTGTAGTTCCAGTGATTGATTGTGAATTGAAATTAAAGGATTTTGATTTAGCTTGGTGATGCCAAGTACGTTTTTGAGAGATTCGTTTTGTGACTTTAGTTGTCAGGACTTGATGTGTGTACCACTTAGTGGACTTGTATTTCGAGGATTTGGTCACCCGTAGTAGGGATTGTGATCCGATGTTTGATTTCGGTGTGGTTTCGTAGTTGATCTATTTCAGGATGATATCTGGGATTTCGGAGATGATGTTTTGTTTGTCAGGCTTTGGATTCGTGATTTAGGTTGTTAACAGGAGTATTTTGAAGCATTGGAGTTGTTGGTTTTGTTGTATTAAGGACTTAGGACCTTAAGCTTAGCGGTGCCTGTGACATTATTGTCAGAGTTTCGGGATTAGCTACCCCAACTCTCACAAGATGCCTGGTTCCCGTAGTGCTTTTGGTAATGATGATTCACGACATTGATGTCATTTGTATCGAGAGGTTTCATGGGGAGACCTAGTAGGGGGCAGGTTATCAATTAGTGCCTTATACTGTCATGCTACCTTACTGACGAGTAAGTGTGGGCGGGTTCTAGTAGCTATTCGTACTGCCACGTTGTCCATGTTTTGTACTTTGATTTGATCTATGATGATATTAAGTTCTTTTTGGATTGTTTTTGGATCGGTATGATGGTTCATTAGGAGGAATGCTTATGGTTGTTGTCTTCCGTTCCTTTGTCCAACCTTGGATTCTATGTATGTGACTTTTGACTACGTGTGGTCAATTTCCTTTTGAGAGGTTGTCCTGTCGTAAGCACGTGGGTGCGAATGACCTTGGTTTGTACGTTGTCTTTCAGCTTTGGGATTGCTTTTGTAGCACGTTGTGTGGGGTACAAAGAGATGTACTCCGTAGTTATCCTGGTTTCACCTTTAGTTTCTTAGGGCTGGATCTCGGGGACGAAATCCCTTTAAGGTGGGAAGGTTGTAATAACCCGGTCATTTTCATTTCTTTCCCTTTCTTCAAATTTTGCCGATAAATTTTTTTTTTCATTGTCTTTTCCTTTTCGGGTTCGATTTCCCGCCTCTTAGTATTGTCTCGAGTGCTCGGAAATGGTTTCTAAGACTCTTTCCTTTGGATTGACAACTTCCTTTGAGAACCGAGTCATTTCCATATTTTTCATTTTTTTGACACTATTCATTTTTTCGTCTTTTCCCTTTTTCGTCCTTTAGTCGTTTTTCATTTTTCCGTGCTTAACCTCACTTTTTGTGCTCGGATTTGATTCCGGCTTGGCATACGTCCATGATATTTAAATTCCATGACATCTACATTTTTACTTTGGTAGAAATGCATATTAAATGTTTACTTTCTTTGTAAAAGCCATGAAAACAAGAATTTTTGTAATTATCCATAACTTGAGTGGTTTTTGGGTAATTAAGTAAAGTAACTATTTTTTTTTCTTAGGGACCATTTTGCAAATTAAATTGGAAGATATTTTCAAAAAGGACCTTTTTGCAATTTCTGAAAAATATGACAAGTGTCACATTCCTATGGTGCCACTTGTTGATTTTATGGTGGAACCACTTGGAGGCTTAATCTCATGACACATGGAGGGTGGAGATTCACCCACTTGTTGTCTTAGGATTGGTGCACTTGTTGGCATGGATGGTTGACAAGTGTAGGGTTAATATTCAATCTTGGAAGCTTACTTGGATTCATGACAAGTGTAGGACTCACCTTTAGTCTTGCATTAGTGTGTGTGTGAGAGGTAGTGCAAGAGCACCTAGTGAGTGGAGAAGCCCACCAATTTAGCTTAGGGTTTACACATTTTAATTCATTCATCACTTTCCTCTCAAGAACCCTAAGGAAGCCACCATTGGATAAAAGCTTGACTAGTATCTTTGACTTCATTTTTGGTGCCCTTTCACTCACCTTAGAACTTTGAACTTGGAATACTTTAGGTTCCTCCCACTCTTCTCTTTAAAACCCTTGAAGGATCTAAACTAACTCCTAGTTTTGCTTTGGTATCTAGAGATTCAATTCTCTAGTGAGGTATTGATCTATTATTTTGAAGTATTTTTATGTCATTATTGAGTGTTTTACATGCATGGAAGAGAAGGTCTTGTATTTTGCCCTTAAACTGTTTTAACTTGAAATTAATCTTGTCAAATTAAATATACAATATGAAAATATACTCAATTAGCTTTCACTTAGTTTTGGTTTCATGTAATTTGGATTTAAAATGAATTAGTTATGAAGTTTTGAAGTTGCAAGCTAGTTGCTGGAAATTTGAAGCTTTTCCTTTTCGGTCTGTAAATGAATTTTTAGATAGAGTTGTGGTACTTTAATTGCCTTGAAATTTTTACTAAAACTTTCTCCATAGGTTCTACACTACTCAAAATTTTTTCACGATTTTAGAGCATTTCTAAATTTTTTTAAAAATCCAAAACTATCTGTTGTCCATGTTTTTATTGCAGCTGGAAAACATATTTTTAGATGATTTATTTCACTAACCTTTTGACATTGGATCATGGCTTAAATTTCCAGTTTTACACTCTCATATGTTTACTTCCAAAGTAAATTAGGTTTGCCCAATTTGGATGCCAAATGAATTTTTCATGAATTTTCAAAGTTGGAAGCTACAGGCTGAAAATGTGTTTTCTGGGCAGAATTTGTTTCAAAGTTGTGGGGCAAAACTGTTTCAA